ACTGATAAATTTATCTTAATCAGACCCAATTACAAGTTAACCCTTTAACTCCCAGAGGTGATTAATGTAAAACTTCTCCCTACAAATCCATACATTATTCAGGAAACAGGTGATGAGAATATTCAAACTTATCAGGTAGAAGCAGTGCTATCTTCATCTAGCACCAAGTTCTCATAACTAATTTACAAGGAAATGAGTAGCAGCTAGAGGGGAGAATTAACAATTAGATCTTGGGAGTTAAAGGTTAATTCTCTCTTCTAGTTGTGCTGATAACCAAAGCATTAATATCACACTTGGGTGTACATGTAACTGTGGTAGGTGGAGTATCCCATATGGAGCATGCTCCTTACAATTCCATTTTATTGAGCATGCTCTAACTAGCAATTCTGCTGTCTTTTGGTTCTTGCTTTCTGAGATGCAGTACAGGTTTCTAGTGTGACAACAAGTTTTACATTGGAAGAGCCCTTAGGGTTACTGATAATGAGGTTGAAATCAAATTTCTTCACTAAGTTTTGAAAACATTTAACTGGCCTCTGAGGAGCAATATTGATATTGTCCACAAGAGAAGAGTCTACTGTGGCTCCAAAGAGCTGAAAGGCACTGGACCTTTCAATATTCCAAGTCTTTCATATATTGAGAGGATTTTTAAATATCTTTGAAAATAAAATGTTTGCAAATAAATGATCAAATTAACAGCAGATTGCAGAAGTTAAACACTGCTTTAATAACTAGGCTTAGATTGTTCTGATCTTTTTGTAAGAGTACTATTCATTGACTCTTAGTAAGCCAGTTGCACTTGCTCTCATTTACAAAGTAAATCCATTTTGGAAAAAATCCTATCTGCAAGTTCTTCTATGTGTTGAGTTCTGTTAGTTTTGTTGTTCTGGTGAGACTTAAGGAATACAATTATGTCTTACTGAAATGATTTTAAACCTTTCAGCGTGCCAGCTATTTTCATACACTTTTCATTGGACAAAAATAAACAGCCTTTCTTGGCCATTTCCCGCAAAGTCATCTTTCAGATTATTATTTTTTATACAATTTACGGTCTCCTAATCCACAACATTTTGGATTGTTTACATGATCTTCGTGATTCGTCCAGCATTGGGTTAGATTTTGTGCTTCGACATGCTACAAACATCATCAAAAGTAAGCTCTCCACATGAAAAAAATAATTTATGCAAAAATCCATGATTGGGCTAGATATGAAATAATTTATTTTAAATTTTACTATTGAGGCAGTTGTAAAATAGAATAGGTCATGATGGTTTTGGTTATTTTTATCATCCTGTAAAAATTGCTCTCGCCATCCGGTGAAATATACTTTTACACAAATGTTTTGGCCATCAATGGCTTTATGTATATCTTGAATGTGTTGGATTGTTTACATGATCTTCATGATTCTTCCAGCATTGGGTTAGATATTTTGCTTTGACATGCTACAAACATCATCAGAAGTAACCTCTCCACATGAAAAAAATAATTTACACAAAATCAACATGGTAGCTGCTAATTGCCAAAGGGTACCTTGAAGGACTTAAGTTAGGTTTAACTTGGCAAAACCTATGATAGACAGTTTGCAAGAATGTACTAATTTCCCAAGACATGCAAGTGTGGGGTGATTATGTACTTTGTCAAGGATGGAACCAGATTTCTGCACAAGATCTTCCATATTCCTGTTTTAGGAGGGGAGCTTAAACTTTGATTTTATATTCATTTATAAGTCTTAATCAGTGACCAAATTACCACCCAACACAGGAACCAAAGAGATGACTCAATCATCATAAAATTGAGTCTCTCAAATGTTAATATTCATAAGTCAACATACAGTTAAAGCACTCCACAAACCTAGCTGTACACAGTAATTCAACCAGCAGTATATTAAAAGGACCACCAGAATTTCAGCAACATTTTCTAAGAGTATTTCCACATGTTTGTAGCCAAACACAATCACAAGTCCATCGATCACAACATAATTAAATAGGTATGCATAGTTCTTGACATAACATTACCAGAAAAAATAATTGATACTACAATTGGATATGAGTGAAATAAAAGCATGTAGAATTCGAAACATATGCAAACAGGACAAAATTATTCCCTGCAAATAAATTATTAAGTAAACCCTTTAACTCTCACATCAAATTTGTAATTCTCCTTACTCCAAACCATACAATTCTTATAACGTTAGTTCAGAGAATTGACAGTAATATTGGATCCACTAATCATCCCCAAATTTATACATTTCTTTACTCTCATCACTTCTCTGGTTGATATTGTGTTGATATTGTAAGGAGAAATTCTGTCTTGGTCACTCATGGCAATTAAAAGGTTAATACAGATTGACAAAATGAAGGTAAGTTTCAAAAATGAGAGAAAAAAAGAGCAGCAAGTCCTCCTACCTTGTATAGTGTTTCCTGGGTTCAAGAAAATAACCCTTGAATCAGGGATAAAGTCAGAAAGTCTGAAAAGACAAGCAGCAGAACAACAGTTACTATATATCAGTTATGAAAGACAATGACAGTCACAAATAAGGGCACTAACAGGTGCCCCAAGGTTATAAGTGGTATTAACGGCAACATTATATAATTGTATCAAAGTTCTTTCTTATTGTCAGCCAAGTTGATAAATAAATGTAAATTTGCCTCTGCGATGAGTTTAAAAGCTGACAATTTGTTTGCTCTGACAAAGGGCTAACACTCAAAATGTCATCTTTTTAAACCTTATCAACTCAACTGATAATACTAAATTATCCTGTTATACTCTCCCACCAAGGCAGTGCCACAGTTTCCTTAGAAACTTATACCCCCTTTATTCATGTATAATTATCAAAAGTCAACTAGAATTAAAAACAACAACAAACAACAACAACAAAAACAACAACAACAACAACAAAAACCACCATGATTCACAAAGGCTGACCAAATGTGACCCTCCATATGATTTCAGGGACAAAGATGAGAACACACACACAACACATCAACACATCTTGCAGATTGCATAACTTTAAAATCTAGTTGTATTCCTTATTCTGTAGTTAGATTTTGTGTTTGAGGTAAAAACTTCCTGTTATGGACATTACACAATTTTTGTTACGAACATTACCCTGTGGAACTTTTTCTTACACTGGTAAGAATAAGGGAATATTTTTATTTATTTAATATGAACTTTTCATAATTGACTTTGTCAGAAATGATAAATTTATCTTAATCAGGCCCAATTACAAGTTAATTCTCTTTTTTGGTTCAGCTGATAATCATAACATCAATACTAAACTTAGGTGTACATGTAATGGTGGTATCTGGAGTATTCCATAAATAGCATGCTCCTTACGATTCAGTTTTAATGCATTACAACTCCATAGCGACATATATTCAGGCTATTGTTCTTTCTCATTACTTATTCATTCCGATGAGTTTGCCGACATGCCGGCATGCTTCCGAAGATCGTGAAGAGCGCAACTTCTTTGATGTAGGTGAGATATTTTTCTTTTGTTAACAGATGAACGGAGGAAAATTTACAACAATTGCGTTGTCCGGTTTGCTGACAACTTTCGCTTTTGTGCAAATTCCTAACTAATCGACAGCTTCGACAGAATCGCCAACACTAAACTCCATCGCGACAATTAACAACACGGTCAGATCACAACAAGTTCATTCGAACAAGACGAAAGTTGTGAAAGAATGAACCGCCAGCGCGCGAACACGAGCACTATTTATGACACGCAATATTTACTTAATAAAGAAGTAGTTTAATTCAAGTGCACTCATTCGGATCAAAACAAAACGATCGGCGCTCGAAATGATAAACCATTTTCGCTTTTGCTCTTCGCAGTGATTACAACAACTCGTCCAAGATCCATTTTTAAATCTTTAACGCCGCTCTTTAATCCAAAAAGCATATTAAGGCTAAAAATACACCGTAAATAGAAACTAAATCCATTCAAATGATTGCAGTTTATCGATCTCGAGTTCATTCATCTCAAGACAATGTAAACAAAAGGATACAAGATCACAAGTCTGTTCGCGCAAGATAGCTTAATTACACTATTGTCCAAGTCTTTTGAAGTACCTTCCGCAGTTCCTTTGGTCTTCTTCCAAAATATCTCACCTTTTTCGAAACGAATAAAACCGAAATCATTCGACACGTTTTCGGCAGCCACCGAAAGCAATGCCCAAAGGAATAAACCGAGCCTTCGAGGTAAAAAATCCAGCGGTGTCACCCATTTCAGTAAGTCACAAATAATCCGGGCTGGAGTCGTAATGTGAGCATGCTCTAACTAGTGTTTCTGCTGTCTTTTGGTTCTTGCTCTCTGGTGCAGATTTCTAGTGCGACACCAAGTTTTACATTATAAGAGCCCTAAAGGTTCCTGATGATGAGGTTGAAATCAAATTTCTTCACCAAGTTGTGAAAACATTTAACTGGCCTCTGAGGAGCAATATTGATATTGTCCACAATAGAACAGTCTTCTATGGCTCCAAAGATTTGAAAGGCACTGGACATTTCAATGTTCCAAGTCTTTCATATACTGAGAGGCTTTTTAAATATCTTCAAAAAGAAAATGGTTGCAAATAAATGATCAAACTAACTGCAGATTGCAGTAGTTAAAAAACTACTTTAATTATGAAACTTGGATTGTTCTAAACTTTTTGTAAAAGTACTATTCATTGACTCTTAATAAGCCAGTTGATACTATTTGGGAAAGTTACACTGCACTGAACTGCATGAATTGACAACTTTCTCTATAGTATTATCAGTGCAATGGCCTTTGAAAGTTGAAGTATTGCTTGTTATAAGCTACATTTCTGAAACATTGCATGTTATATTTTAATTTGTTATCTTCAGATATTATAAAAGAAGGTGCTGACTCTAAATATACACATATGTCTCAGAAAACTTTATTCACACTTGGACTCACACTTTTTGAAAATTTATACTCCTCATGTCAGCATAGTGTTAATTCTCCTAATCAATGTACAGTTGTTGTTATGGTTATTGTTAATGGTATTTAGTTAAAAGCACTGAAAACTTGGAAGTGATAAATTTGAACAAAATTGGTATGCATGTAGCATTTATTTCTCCAAAGAGAATTACCATAATTAAAGTTATGCAGTCATAATGTCCATAATATAATATGTCTATAATGTGATGTCTGTAATGTAATGTCTTTAATATGATTTCCATTACATGAAGTGGGCTTTATGTTTTCATGTGTTTTCCAGGATTTCGATAATTTATAACACTCAAGTTTAGGCCCCTAGAAAGAAAAAAAGGAGTCAGGCTGACAAAAAAAAATGGTTTTTAATTTCAGAGAAAACAAAAAAAGAGGACTGGTTTCATTATGGACATTATGTAATATCCATAACAAAATAATGTTACTTGCTCTCATTTACACGTTAGGAGGGGAGCTTAAACTTTGATTTTATATAAATTAACAAGTCTTAATTAACCAGTGACCCACTGTACCATAACATCTGATGAAATATGACTTTTACACAAACATTTTGGCTGTTTATGGCTATTTGTAATGGTGTCATTTATGAATATCTTGAAAATGTTGGATTTTTACACAATTGTTGCAATTCATTCACCACTGGGTTAGATTTATGTGCTTCAACATGCTACATGTAATTTAAAAAAGTAATTTAGGTGTCTGCTTTGAATCATAATGCAACTCATTCGCAGGCAAATGTTTCAACTTTGTTTGTTATTTGTTTTTTTTTCAAGTAAAAGCGTGTTGTGAGCATGCTATCACCTTTGTTCCTAAAAAATCATATGAAGGGTCACAATTACAGAACCTTGTGTTAGAACAAGCAGTTGCATCCTATATTGGTCATTACACCTGTAACAACCAAAGCAACTTTTTAATCATTTGATGCATTTCAGCTGTAAGGTGCAACATAGTAAGACATGGTGTCAAACACTATTGAAGGATGACAACATTCAATTTATACTCCTGAGCATAAATTCAAAGGATTGAACCACTGGGTAAAGATTGATGCAAATTTAATTAGTGACCTATCTTACTACTTTAACCATATTTTTCATATTCAAAACAAAAAAGAAAAAAAAGAATAATAACAAAAACATTTTTCATTCCCATGAGAATAGCACCAAAAAATTCTTAAATATATATATAACATATTTAAAGAGGGAAAAAATGGAGAGAACAGTGTTAAAAGAAAAGGGAAAATAAAAGAATGTCTATACCTACTTTGTGCCCTGTTTAGATTCCTGCCTTCAAGAAATCACAATCTGTCGGTCAGAAATGATGGACATGTCATAATTTCTAAAAAAGAAAAACAGAAAATAAATATTAATAAAATGTAAGGGATGGTGACAGTCACAAAAATTGCATTTAAGGTGCTATATTTAAGGCAGTAATTGTTGCTACTGAACAGTGCAATGAGCTGAAGAAAGTTTTACAACAATCTGAAAGTCATTCACAACGACATAAAGCTATTTCACTTGATCATGCTGAAAAGGGGTTGTTCGAAAATAATTAAAATTAAAAGGAATCGTATAATGGTCTGCTAACTTTAGAACACAGCAAGTTGAACTGGGAACTTAAACATGTCATTCGCCAAATTGCGAAGGAAACATAGATAGTTTTTAGGAAACTTGGGCTATGTACCTCGTGTAGAATTGTTAAGCAGCATACTATCTAGATTGACAAAGAATAATCCCACAAACAGCCACGATGAACTAATTTATTCACACACAGGAGCAGGTGTTGATGCGGGAACTTTAGAATGTGACGTAATCATGGGCAGAACGAAATTTCTTGAACTCAAATGTCGCATGGTTTAATCTCAGATTGAATTTGAAGGCGCATTGATTCTTTTTGAAAAACTTCCATCGACAAATAATGCCTCACTCGAGTTCTCGGAAAACGTTCTATTGAATTAGAGAAGGCAAGTCATTCTTTAGCACCGGAAAACGAACAGTATGGAAAGGGTTTCACTTTCAGTTTCCACACGCCTACTAAAATGGCAACTTCCGCCTTCACTAAAACACATTACGTTTTTCCAATCTGTTCGGTCGCACTTCCCTGTCGCTTTAATCTAGATTAGGAACGACTCCTGAGAGTAAAATAGTTGGCCCGAATACAAAACAGACCCTTACAAAAGTATGAAATAGAAATTTTTAGAGCGCATCAACTCATAATTCATGGTCGACTTACCTTTCAAGTGTTCTTTTCGTGAACGGTGCTTCAAACGAAATGATTACACCCAGGGCACGTCAAGAGGCTAAGCAATCGTCCTGAAAAGAGAAAACAGTAGCTAATGTATCAAATATATGTTCCACATACGCTTATCTCCAAAGACTCGTGTTAAAAGTTTCACAATCATACACATTCACGCGAATGATATACGGATTATTGAAGTTCAATTTAAAGTGACAGAGCGAATAACTTTACTATTATGTCTGTACCTGTTCTTTCTTCGGGTCAACTCTTCACATGGACAGTGACGTGAGTTTAAACCAATTCGTTTCCCCCTTTCCTGATCTTCCAACGAGCGAAGGAAGTGACTCACAAACGGTAAGTATTGTAATAGACTCGGAAGACGGAGTCGTTTACGACATGCGCAGATGACATTATTCACAAAGGTAACATTACGCATTAAACCGGGTAACACAGTCACGCAATGAAAACTAACTTGCAATGTGTTTCTCGTCGTCGGGAAGAAAGATCGTTTCAAAAAAAATTATGACAGAAATCTTTTAAGGTACACATAATCAATAGACTACCCTTTTTTTCTCTTAAAGCTGCAAACGAGTTGTCATTAAAGTTGCCTCTAAACAACATCGCGTGATCCGCTTCATATCATCTCTCGCTACAGGTCACGCATCTAAGGACCTGACAAGACACGCACAGCAGATTTTCTGCACCTCACATTGCAGTCGAAGACTTACCGTTTTCGCCTAGTGATCTCTCTATTTTGCACCTTTCCTCTGGCAAAGGAAGACAACGTTTCCCCTTCTATAGTACTAATATAATCCTGGGTGGGTTTTTTCCAGTATATTGGGGCGTATTAGCGTCAGATAGCGATTGTATGCCAAAACTCCGAGTGATGCGCTCGTCTCCTTAACCACCACCCCTTAAAAACACGGCCAGAAACTCTCACCTTCCATGCTCGTAGTCGTGACTTAATCCCAATCTAAACCTCCCTTCTTCTCATAATTTATTGTTAGACTCTGATCAGCAGTGCTACCTTTCAGTCTGAGGGAATGGGCTAATGGGATATGCCGCCGGATGTGATCGCATCTTCATGGCTGGATTGATTGGGGTTGTGTTTTAAATAGAATATCCAGAATAGGGTCGCACATTTCCGCGAGGCCTAAGTAAGTAGGGATTTGAAAATGGGAAGATTTGAGATTAAAAAGTTTTCAGCGTATTACCAGAAGAGACTAAGATGATGTCTATGATTGGCCGCAGAATATTTTAGTGGGTATGGGTTTTTAAAAAAAACCAGCAGCACACACCCAGCAAAAATTAACCCGTGTACCTGCCCCACCCCCCGCCCGGACTGGGTCTTTCTCACAGTTGGCTGGAAGCGGATGCATACCGCATAATGCTCAGTCGGCGTGTAAAAGGGATTGAACGCATGATCAGCTCTCTAAATCCTAAACCAATTTTATTTTTGTAAGTTTTATTTGTCTTTCTATCATTTATTTTTCATATTATTCTGCTACCGTACGTCAAAGTTCATGCCTAATGACAGGAAAGTGAATGAATATCTTCTTTTACTGAACATAATACATCATGCAAACCCGAACACCGTGGCATGGTAAACAATCGTTAGGAGCAAAATTGATCAATTTTAACCGTTTGTGGTAAAAAAAATAATGAAGCGTATGATTTTTTGTTTAATCACGATAATCAGCGTAAAATGGCCGAAATTTTAATCGTTAGCCGTAAAAGCCATCACCCCATTAAGACCCTCTATGAGGTATTCACCTTTCTTTTTTTTTTAATTAACAAACCGATGACGTTTGTATTGTTGTCGGCTGTCGGCTTCGATTCCCTAATTTGTTACGCATCAGTACTTGCTGGTAAGTAAGGAAAATTCGGTCTGGATGGTTCTAATCGAAAATCGAGACTGGATAGTCCTGACAATGTTGCTGGAGTGCTCCTCTGAGAATGTCTTTGAATTTATTGAATTTGCTAATCATCGTCAAAGCAAAGAGGCGCAAGGGAGTTTGTTACAACGGTTTAGATATACAGCAGGGTAAATTTATTAGGCCTGCGTTACGGAAAAGTACTTCCACCTGGCTTTCTAAAGATCCCGATCCTCAGATCGGACAGGAACAACTTTTCGAAAAAAGCCGCGATCCTCTACAAATCTCACATCCTCATCAGCAGGATAATGTATTGGTAAGTTACCTTAAGGTGGCAGGAAGCTTTCAGGTCGGCATGTTGTTCGACAATCTTGTAGACTTAAGTCATCAGACTGTTAAAGAAGTGTTTGGCAACATGGAGGATTTTAATTAACGGCGAGTACTTTCACGAACACACTCGTTGCCCGTCTGTTGGTATTTACACCTGCAAAAGAAAACACTTGAATACACTGTATAACACCGATCAAATAGACTACGCTCGTGAAAAACAAATCGAGAGAACATTGAGGGGATAATTCGGTAAATAAACAAATTGAAATGTGATGAAATAGAATATTCGCGCGAACTCATGGATGTACAAATTGCGAATGAGGTACCCTCGAATGAGACTAATTTTGAAACAAATGTGTCTAAATTATGAAAGAGAATAGAGAAAGCTTGAAATCTGAATACACTGGTGAAAATAAATTGAGCATTCTTAAATAAAAAATACAAAAGCCTTCAAGATATTAGGGACCTTAAGCAGTCTGGATGGCAACGCTAAGGAAGATCTCGATTAAAAAATAAATTTTGCCTTTAATTAGAATTTCAAAAATGGCTGCATTTGTCTCATACGGCGCCACTCCTCAGCTTCAGCAAAACGTATAAAAGAAACGTTGAGTTCCAAATGGAAATTAAAATAATTCGCAGTCGCGGTTTCGGTTCGCAAACTACGCAAATTGAGGGGATCTCACGTTGTTGTTTTGCATAGGACGGTTAAGAAATATACAAAGTTTTAAAACGCACGTGCTGAGCTATTGTTCTGCCAATCAAATCTTTTGTTTTTCCATGTACTCGTTGCCGTCGCCGTCGTGGTTTGCTTAAGGCCCCTATTTACGGTATGTGTACAACTCGTATCGCATACTGGGTGGCTAACACATTTATGTTTATTAGGGTGGTTTGAGTTGATAAAGTAAATTTGCTACCGTAAAGAACTACAAAGTTGACGTTTCGAGCGTTAGCTCGGATAAAGGGCTAATCCTCGAAACGTCAGCTTTGTAACTCTTTACGGGGGCCAATTTACTGTGTCAACTCAGTTGATAATACCAAATTAAGAATCCGCTGGCAATGCAATACATTCGCAACTGATATACCATATACAATCCTGATATATAATCAACTCCTTACACATTCAAAAATAGGTGTACATCACTAACATTTTAACTTCACCAAGTCGAGATTAAAAGAGATGGGCAACCGCTTAGAAGGACACTACTACGGTTATAGGGAGGCCAGAGAAAAACTTCCAGAAAAAACCCCTTTAGGGAAAATATATGACAGGAAATCTAGGTGGGAACCATGGCCCAAACTCAGAGCAGTTAACAGCCCATCCTGCGAGGCTTTACAGTTAAACAAAATAAGTTTTTAAACCAAAATAAATGTGGCATTAGCCTAAGGTGCAAAGTTGGTTATGAAGCCTAGATGGACACTACGTGCCATACTCCCCTTCATATACCACTGCATCATTACCCATGGTGCTCGGGCACGGGGCCCAGGCCTTGTCGCATCTCGTGCCGACAAAATATTTTTTTCTGCCTTATTCACAGACTCAATCGTCAGAAAGACCATTTTTAGTGTTATCCAAAGAACACTTTGTTTACCTCACCCCTATTGTGTCCTCACCTCGCCCCTATCCCCTACACACTTCCCGTTTAATGTCACTTCCCACCTTAGCGGGAAAAAATTCCCTTCGGGAAAAAATTTCCTTCGGTAAAAAAATTCGTACGCGCGCTTGTTTCAATAAAATTCTAGCAAACTATCCACTGAAGAAAGCTTAATAACTGCTAACTGTTTGGCGAAATTTGAAGAAAATCGGTCAAATCCATACACCCTATAAATTCGCTCAAAGTGGTAGTATTCCTTCCAAAATTAAATGCAAGATTATTTCGTCCCCGGGGACCGCAAACTGGGACAACGGGACCTCTTGGCGTCAACGACGATGGATCAAGATTTCCCGAGAATAGAAACCCATTGCAGTCTTTTTTTTCTTTCTTTTTATCTCGAGCACTTAGTGGAGCGTAGAGGATGACGACACAATAATGGGCAAAGGGAAAAACCGGAAAATGTTCTGAGGAACAAGACAACGAATCGACAGATAACTTTCAAAATTACGTTTTGTGCAGGAGCCGGTTTTGTGTCAAGGCTGGTACTCGTGTAAATAAGAGGAAATCTCTTTAATAAAACAATTTTTTTCTTTTCTTTACAGAATGGTACTCTTTCTGTCTTCCTTGGACCTGTTTTTTTTCCTTTTTCACCAGGGGGCTTTCTTCCACTTGTGATTTTTCCATGAGCAAAGATTTTTATATTAGCAAAGGGCTTCCACGTGTGAATTTTGTCAAGTGCGCGACTTAAGAAATAACACGAAAAACGAGCCTCAAGATGAGAAGTTGCCGCGAAAATTCCCTCAGGGTTTCTCGTAGCTCCGAGATTATGACACCTTCCTGATTTAAGAACTTTTCTTTGAAAATACGTTTTTCTGAATAACTCTGGCGCTTTTGAAGACTTCAGAATTTTTGTTGTTAAGGAAACGTTAGGTTAACTAAAAGATCTGAACGCACTAATTCTCCCAGGCGTTACTGAATAATTATCTCATGTCACAGTGTCAGTTGATGAAGTTGTGGACTGAAAAGTTACGAATAGCCACAAAAAAAGAAAAGCACAATCACTCTAATTATTCCTGCAGAAGTCGGTTCAGGTCACTCGCAGTTTTTTTCATATTTATTACCATTGTTGAACAAATCTTAATTGGTCAGAGTCTTATTGACTTTGATTGCCTCGGCGATAGATGTGGCATCGGCATCACCAATATCATCGTGAGACAAATTCAAATCAGTTAAAGTGTTGTTGACTTTGATTGCCTCCGCATTTGACGTCGCACCGGCAGCACTAAAACCATTGAGAGAAAAAATTGGTCAGTGTCTTGTTGACTGTGTTTTCCTCAGCAATAGACGTAGCACCGGCATAACTTATAAATTGAAAAACAAATTCAAATTGTTTAGCGTCGTTTGACTTTGATTGGCTCAACAATAGATTTAGCAAAAGCATCACTAATACCATTCTTAGAGACTAGTTCAATTTGGTTAGCGTCTTGTTGACTTTGATTGCCTCTACAGCAATAGATGTAGCAAAAGCATCACTAATACCATTCTTAGACAAATCCAAATTGGTTAAATTCCAATCACATTTGTACAAG